TCTCACAAAGATGTGTGCTCTAATGACAGGGAAGCTTTTTACAGTATCTGTATTGATGCACTATGTATCTTAGATTTTTCTTTTTTAAAAAACGAACTTTTGTGAGGAGTCTGAATATGAGAATTGCAAAAACTTTTAGATTTTGATAGCTGGCAGACACTTAATGTACAATACAACTATTCTGAAGAGCAGAACTCTTAACTAAAATCTGGTTTATTAGGCATATTTATCTGCACCATCTGGAACCTGCTGTTAATCCTACTGTATAGATGGAGGTGGAGAGAACCCACAGTGAGTTGCATATTTAATTCACAGGACACTCTCTGAACAGAATATAATTATGGTGAACAAAGAGCTTTTCTTGGATGAGGTATTCCTGTACGTTCATTGTTGAATAAAGTTATGAAATTGGATTGTCATTAATACAGTAAGATTTCCTGAATAGCTGCATAGGGTGAGTAGATAAATAGGGGTTTTTAAGTGTGTTACCTGTTACTGAAAAATCACAGAAATGATACAAGGTACCAGAACTTGTCTTTACAAGACACAATATTTTTATACCTACTGTGTTCATTCCCAATCATTCCAGTTTTTCTTATTTAGAACTGGGTAGTCATCTTGAAGAATGTGCTTGGAAATGTCATCTGTAATTTAATATAATAGAAATAGTAGATGTCTTAAATGGTTTCAAGTAGCATCAAGATCCAAGTAGTGACAGCACTATAGTATTTGTAAGTCATGAAACACATTTTGTAACAGTCATGTCCATCGAAATACTATTCTATGTAGGGCAGAATGTTTATTTTATCAAGATATGTGAAAAAATACTTCATTCTAGCAGCTTTCATATTAGGGGGAAATACAGTTGGTTTTAAACATAATATTTCGCAATATTTTTTCTATGAGAAATTCTCCGACACAGTTGTGACCATTGTAAATGTTATGTAGATTTCCAATGCAGATAAATTAGATAAATGGTGAATTTTGTAGCAGAAAGGCTAAAATGATGACAGGACGGTGAGACACTGAAAAGTAATCTGATAAATGACCGGTGTTGTACAGGATAGTGAATGTAAAGCATCGTTTGCTTTTGGGGGATTGTCTCTTGTTTTGGTCATCAGTAGAGAGATTATCAGTGAATAAATTAGCTGTATTTATTTTCCCACAGTAAGTGTGCATGTATGTGTGGGTGGGTGGATGGATGGATGGATGGATGGATGGATGGATGGATGGATGGATGGATGGATGGATGGATGAATTCTATTTATGTAATGTCCTGTGCAAAAGGCAAAAATCTCCATGCATGGCTATTTTTATGACACTGGTGATCTGTGAACAGAACTCTTCCATGGGAGACCTGTTCTAAATCTGAATCTAGCAGAATCACTGCCAATGTCAAAAGTTTTTGCTGAAAGCAGTGAGATCTCTTGCTTCCCCTCTCTGGCTTTTTCTGCCTTACTTTGGTGATACTTGGGCAAATGTGTACTTACTCAAACCAAATTATTAGCAGTGGTGTTTATTCCAAGTGCTTGTAGGGAGTATTTGAGACAGTGAAAGAGTTTGTAAGGTCTTGCAAGCTGGGAGAATTGGGAAGTGCTCTATCAACATCCCACCTGGGGGGATACCTTTCAGGAATCATCCAGGAAAGAACAGACGTGCATATTGGATGCAGTGCTTTAGCATCACAGGATACTGGGAAAAGTATGTCAGTCAAAAACTAACAATTGAAATTGGTATTTGAATACAAACAAGAAGTAATCTTTTTGGTACTTTATTTTCAATATTTCTCTCGTTATTTCTATAAAAATGAGTCACATTTAAAAAATATTTTCAAAGTTACTCATAATTTTGAATGCCTTCTGATTTTGAATTTTCTGATTTGAAAGCTTTCCTTAAAGGGCTCAATTTTATCAGAAAATGCTAGTACCTTTCCTCTCTCTTCCTAGACAATGTGATTCATTTCAGATGTTCTGAAACTGTGCTAAAATGAGCACCTAAAGTCACAGGGCATTACTGAAAATATTGTCCATCATTTTAAATGCAAAACTTAAAAATGCAAGGACATTTTTTGCTCATACAGGGTGTTTTGTTTTGCGTTTTTTTTCATTTTCTCTTCCTAGCTGCTAGGACAGAAAGTAGAAAGATTGTGTAAAGAAACCCTGAGTTGATATGTACAATATTGATTTACTTAATTTGGGGGTTCATTAAATCAGAAAATTTAGTATGATCAAGTAAGTAATAAACCTCCCAGGGTCCTTGTACAGAAGTAATTTGCAGGATCTGGTCATTAGTTTGTTTCCAATCTGCATATTTGTTTTTTACATCTGTTAATGAGTGACAAAATTCCCACTGACTTCACTGATATAGGATCAGGCCATGATGCAGAGGGGATATCAGCCCTACATGGTAGCTTTGACATGCTTAGTGTGATGGATTGTGACTTCTTTGTCTTCTGCAAATGGTCAATTTATGACTTAAAGGAAGAAAGCAGTTAGTGTACTGTATCTTTATTAGCACTGTAGTTGAGGGGAAACTAAGGTTGTGGAGTATTACAAGTGTAAAAGAGCAGCTAGAGGGAAATATGGGTACCATGAGGTATCAATAGGTAAGAAAAATTACTCCCCCACAGCTCTTCCCCCCCTCCCCGCCCCGTTCATCCCCCCCC